TGTGTGTGTGTGCGTGTTTGTGTGTGTGTGTGTGGGTGTGTGTGCGGGTGCGTGTTTGTGTGTGTGTGTGTGGGTGTGTGTGCGGGTGCGTGTTTGTGTGTGTGTGTGTGCGTGTTTGTGTGTGTGCGTGTTTGTGTGTGTGTGTGTGTGTGGGCGCATCACTGATTTGTTGACTCCTCCCTCTTTTTGTGACAGGCATCAATGTATCTTGCTGCTAGTAAGATACAATCTTGTTTTTCACCTAATAAATATTGAAGTTGTGTATTCTTGTTTAACATTTTAAAATCAGGGTAAAGTATTTCAAATTTGGGATAAAATGTGTTTGTAATGTGTTGATAGTTGGGGCAGCTGGTGAGGAGGTGTTGCTCTGTGAGTACAGTGAGGGCAGATGCGGCTCTCTCTGGGCAGCCAGTGCTGTGGATATCTGCCCGTCTCTAGAGTCAGAGTATGGCTGCTCAGTCTGTACCTCGTCATCTGTCTTCTTCATTTACAGTCTTGCACTGTACTCAGATATTCTGCAGTTGTGTAATCTCTATTTAGGGCCAAATAACATTCAAGTTTACTTTGTGTTCTTTTCTTTGTGTCTTCAAAAATAAGTCTCTCTATAAATCTATATCTCTTTCTCTCTCGCTTATCTATCTATCTATACATCTATACTATTTGAGAGCAGTTCTGACCTCCAGCCACTCGGTGGCACCAACATTCCCAAAATCTCCTCCATCCCAGCTGACGAAAAGCAAACTGCGTCTGGGATAAAAGCCTAGAATTTAACCAGAAGACAACAGCATCAGTTCATCAATATTGACAGGACAAATTTATGGTACAGTTCAGTAAAAAAAAAAAAAAAATGAAAGAATTGATGAAGTTAGTGACCCTTTATACTGTCTCAAAGATCAGACTTTACACTACATAAACATATGCATTTCTGCTTCAAAAATGGTCTTTTACAAAATAAGCATTTTTGCTACCCATATATATATATAATAAAACCAGGAAAAAGTTATTTAATTTTTGAAGTCACATCGTCACGTGTAAAAATAGTTAAGAAAAGAGACGAAAAAGTTTATTTGGAAGATGTTTTAATCTATCCTTTAACGCTAGAAGGATTTTGAAAAACATTTTCTTTCTTAAAATAGCAGCACGAAAAAATTACTACATGAAGTGATTTTTATGATGTTTAAATGTTCTCACGAAAAAGCGCAATTTCAAATACTTTTTATAGATCTATTAGAATGGAGTAAATAACGTATTTCAAAAATAAGATTTGTAAATTTTTTCATGAAACTGTTAACGGTTTAAAATATTTGAATAAATTAGTTTAAGTAAAGAGTTAGGAACAAGGGCAACATTTTAATTTGACAAATGTATGATTTCAATTATAAAATAAGGAAAAATTAAGTATAGAGACAAAAGTTTAAGGCTATTATAATCAGTTTTTTCCCTTTAAAACAGACAGCAGTGTTAAAAAATATACATAAAGATAAAAATCTAGTTTAACTTAAAATATAACGTTTTTTATTTTGGTTGTCTTGAAAAACATGATTTAATAAATTTTTGTGTTTTATATTAATTTTGCTGATTTATTTTAAATTTGTATTTAATTATTAATGTTTTATTTTGATTATTTTAAAATAATTTATTTTTATTTGACATTCAAAAATTAAAATTTTTATGATTTTACTCAATTTCGTGAGAGTTTTATTTCAGTAAAGTCACAGTACGCACGTGTTCAGAGATGACGGCGTCGCTATGGAGACCGAGTCGCCGTGGATCCTGCGGGACGTCGGCGGGGTCGGGGTAGATGAGAACGCCCACAAGCCCCGCCTCCTGCGCAAGCCACACCTTCTCGGCGAAGCTCACGGCTCCTCCCACCCTCGCCACGGCGATGGAGCCGTTGAGGGCGACGCCCATCACACGCAGCTGCTCGAAGTCCTCGCGCCGGCCGTAGTTCACGTACACCACGCCTCCCTGCGCAACAACACACGCTAAAACTAGTGCTGTCAAAATTAGTGCGTTAACGCATGCAATTAATTCTTCCACTTTAACGGCGTTATGCCAGTAAAAACTAATCTCTTCAATCGCACGGACAAATGCGCCGGCGCGTGCTGTATATAGTTTCATATTGAAGCGCGAAATAAACTACGAGCATGCAATGTCATAGTTATGTCGTCAATTAAGTCATGAAATTACCAAAAAGGCAATTATAGCTGCATTAAAACGGAGCATGCATGTAAGTATTTGTTATACACGAGTCACGTGCCTCAGATTCACGTCATGTTCAGCAGCGGCAGCTCTTAAAGTGATAGCAGCCAAATAACCTAATAACCAGCTGCTGTGATGTCTGTTCATCAAAGAACAAAAGAAAAAAAGAGGAAATCAATAACTTTTGTAGCTTTAAGGATTCATCTATATTTAATTTAGAACATAGGGTGGGTTGCACCAATAAGGATTAATCTTAAATCTAGATTAAATCAAGGTTTATCTAATAGTTCTGTTGCACCAAACTTTGAAGGGTTAGTACACTCAAAAATGAAAATCAGGCTGTGTTTTACTCACCCCCAAGTCATCCTAGGTGTATACGACTTTCTTCTTTCAGATGAATCCAGTCGGAGATATATTAAAAATTGTCTTTGATCTTTCAAGCTGTTTAATGCCACTCAGCAGGTGTTGCAGTGCTTCAGTCCAAAAGAACTTAAATAAGAAGCGCCCATCCATGAAAAAAGTGCCTCACACGGCTTCGGGGGGTGAACAAAGGAGGAGGCCTGTAGCAAATCGAATAGATATTTTTCTTACAAAAACGCATCGATTCGCTACAGGAGGCCTTTGTTCACCCCCCGGAGCCGTGTGAGACACTTTTTTATGGATGGGCGCTTTTTATTTAACCTCTTTTGGACTGAAGCACTGCAACACCTGCTGAGTGGCATGAAACAGCTTGAAAGATCAAAGACAATTTTTAATATATCTCCGACTGGATTCATCTGAAAGAAGAAAGTCATATACACCTAGGATGACTTGAGAGTGAGTAAAACACAGCCTGATTTTCATTTTTGGGTGAACTAACCCTTTAACCTTGTTAAAAAATAAGCAGGTTTACATTTTTGTGAGGGTCTTGGTAGCCCGTAGTAAACTTGTGACTGCTATCGAGTCCGGGATGTGAATCCATCACTTATCGCGATGCGTCTCGGTGTACGGCAAAGAAGATAAGACAGAAATATACTGTACAGCATTTAACGGCAGCGCTGATGAACGGCGATCAAAGCGCCGCTGTCACGAGCGTAGGTAGTCGCTCCATGAATCATGCCAGTTATTTTCTCTCATCTCGGTTGTTTTGTCATAAGGTATACTCTATTAATTGATACCATAAACATATTTCCAAGATTATAAAATCTGTTTATTTCCTTAATCGACAAAAGCAACTTATGTCAGAGAGACATTACGGTTTAATTATAATAGCGAATCCATCACGGCGTAGATGGAGGATTTAATCGCAGATCATAATTCTAATCCTCGATTCGTTAATCTGTGTTTAAAATTAAGTGGTGCAGCACAACTCGATTAAAAATAAAACCCAGATCAACAAATCCTTGATTAGCTCTAAGCTTTGCTTAATTTAATCCTTGTTAGTGCAACCCACCCTTAGTGTTTGATAACTTTATTACATTTCTGTATATTTCCGATACTTGCTGAAGGGCACAGGTAGCTAAATATGACATTTATTATAATGGGTTTACGTGAAGATTGTTTTAAGTTCACTTACATTAGAAGTTAGAAATATACTGTCTTTATGTTGTCTCTACATTGATTTGAAGATTGAATGTGAAATAATTGCAATATAAATGCATATTTAAAAACTTCAAATATAAAACTTTAGGTGGTATTAATCGCGAAAAAAATGATTTAGTTAATTCGTTTTTTAATTGATTGACAGCACTAGTTAAAACATTACTGATGCGCTGCGCTGGTTTATGCGCGGTCGCCGTGGTTACCGTGGCCGTTCCCGTGGCGCTGTAGGCGCAGTATCCCTCGCTGTCCAGCGGAATCTCCTCGAGCTCCGCCCCCTCGGAATCCACCAACCAGAGCGTGTTCCGCTGCGTCCTGTGGGAGCAGGGCAGGCGTGTGATTGGCTGAAGCGGCGCTGGCTCGGCCAATGGCAGACGGACGCTCACCTGGAGGGAAACTGCAGCGTGGCGTAGTGCGAGTCGGTCCAGGTGTGATCCATGCGCAGGTTCTGCAGGTTCTGCAGGATTTCTCTGGCCACCGCGTTTCCTTCTGAGGACCCCGGAGGATGAGACGCCCGACTCACACGCCTGAGCGAAAACACCACAACACATCAACTCCAGCAGGACCCCCGCCACAGGTCAAAGGTCACACCCGCGTTCTTACCAGTCATTTTGGTGAACGGTCAAATAAAATATTTTATCTTGGGTTTTTTTTTTATTTTGATTCCATTTTTATATTATTAGTAAGAGTTTACAATCATTTTATTTTAATATTTTTACAATTTAGCTATTTAGTGTTTTATTTTAAAATAATTAATTATATATTTTTTATCAAAAATATCATCAAAAATAAAAGTTTTTACACAAGTTGTTTATATAATACAAGTGTGTGTACTGTGTATATTTATTATGTATATATACTGTAAATACACACATACAGTATATATTTTAGAAATGTTTACATGTATATATTTACATTCATATCATTTATGTATAAATATATTTAATATATAAACGTAACATTTTTCTTAAATATATGCATTTATATATACATAATAAATATACACAGTACACACACATACATTATTTTATACGTTTATTTACGTTTATTTTGGACGCGATTAATCATTGCCCAGCAATAATTTTTATAATACATTTTTAGTAAGTTTTAATATTCTTTTAATTTTAAATTAATTTGACATTATGATGTACATTTTTAATAATTGTTTTATATTGATTTTGAAAAAAATATGCTTTTATGATTTCAGTTTCAGTAAGCATTTAAATTTGTAAGCATTTTTCAAATTTTTAAACCTTTTTATGATTTTATACATTTTAGTGAGTATTTTATTTTGATTTGATTTTAAAATAATGTATTTTGATTTAATGTTTGTGTTTTAAGGTTTTAATTTTTAGCAAGTATTATATTTTGACTGTTTTATTTTAAAATAACTTAAAGTTTATATTTTTGGATATAATAATTTGTCAGTTTTTATTTATTTATTAAAATATTTATTCATTTTAATTATATGTACTTCTGATTTAATTAATTATTAGAAAGTGTTTTATTCTTTAAATAATTGATTTTAATTTTCCAGTGACTTAATACACGTTTAGTGTTTTATTTTGATTTGTTTTTATTTATCAATAATTCATTCTATTCTGTTTTATAAATGAATTTAAATGCTGCAATTTGATTGTTTATTTTAAAACCATTTATTTGTTTTAATTTTTAAATGATCATTTTAAATTATTTAATTAATCTTTAGTAAGGGTTTTATTTTGATTTTGTATTTCAAAAGTCTTCATTGTAATTTGACTTTACGAATGAATGTTTTGTCAAGTCAGCTTTACTTCCACAGCATTTAATTCAGTACAGAATGCAGTTTTTGAAGACAGTGAGTAACAGTAGCTGCTGACCTGAGTGTGTCCTCGATCCTCTCCTCCTTCAGGTACTTCTTCAGCATCTCTCGGAGCTCTGCCGTGTACATGACGCCTCCCTCGGCCGAGTGTTGAGCTCCCGCCGCGTCGCTCAGAGGAATCAGGTCGCCGTCGTTCCCGCACAGACGACACATTCCCCGGAACGCCACGAATCCCAGCAGGAACGCTGTGGACCAGACCGACACTGAGAATGCAGCACTAGTGCACACTACAGACGGCACACTACTGGACTGAACGAGTGTGAGAAAAGACATGCAGTGACCGTCAAACACTGGGGTCCTCAAGCTGTCCATGTCCTCACATCACATTATTTCAAAATAATACACTTACTAAAAATTTATTAAATCATAATGTCAAATTAAAATAATTTATTTTAAAATGAAAACAAATCAAAATAAAACACCTGATTTTTAAAAAATGATATTACTAAAAAACCATAAAATAATACAAAATAAAAATCTAAAATTAAACTAAATTATTTTTAAAAATGCATCAAAATAATGCACTTAATAAAAATGTATACAATCATAAAAAGTCTTAAAACAAATTATTAAAAAAAATAAATAAACACTTTCTAATAAATAATTACATCATAAAAATACAGAATTAAACAAAATTATTTTAAAGCAAAACATTCCGAATAATTTAATAAAAATGTAGTCCAATTTTAAAATAAAAATATCAAAATTAAACATTTACTAATAATTGCTATATTATTTACTAAAAATTACACCATAAAATTTTTTTTAAATAAAACTCATATGAGAGTGTGTGTGTGTGTGAGAGTGTGTGTGTGAGAGAGAGAGAAAGAGAGAGAGTGTGTGTGCGCGTGTGTGTGTGTGTTTGCGTGTGTGTGTGCGTGCGTGTGTGTGAGTGTGTGTGTGAGAGAGAGAGAAAGAGAGAGAGTGTGTGTGTGTGAGTGTGAGTGTGTGTGTGTACCTGTTTTTATGTTCTGGTGGGGACTTTGACCTGAATACACACAGACTCATGGGGACGCGTGTCACGGTGGGGACCTAAATTGAGGTCCCCACGGGTAAACAAGCTAATAAATCACACAATGTTTTTTGAAAATCGAGAGAGTGAGAGTGAGTGAGTGTGTGTGTGTGTGTGTGTGTGTGTGTGTGTGTGTGTGTGTGTGTGTGTGTGTGTGAGAGTGAGTGCTGACCTGTGGTGAAGATCAGCAGGCCGCTCAGTGTCAGGTAGACGGCTGCTTTCCTGCGGTCCATCCGCTGCTGTAGCATCAGTGCGCTGGTGATGTCTCTGTTCAGCGTGACCTCTGACTCCTCCTCCAGAGGGACCAGCTTCAGCTCAACGGGCGGGGCTCGTCGCCGGACTCCGCCCCCTTCCTCCACGCCCTCATTCGCCTGAGCTCCGCCCCCTGCCGCCTGCTCACACACAACTGTCAATCAACTCAAGAATAAACGAACAATCAATGTTTACAGTAAAAAAAAAAAAAAAGTAAAGTACAGTAAAAAATATATATATTTTAGTGCTGCCAAAATTAGCGGGTTAAACACATGCAATACATTTTTTTCAAATGAATGGTGTTAATGGTTTTCTTGACAAGAATTGCATTTATTTAGACGCGAAGAACGTCTTTACAAGCACATCAAGCGGGAGACTTTTCATACGCACGCTTTACTCCTCCTTAGCAACAGGCGCGAGTCAAACAGTGAACTGTGGTCAGATGAGATGTTGTCAGGCCATATATCAGTTAAAACTAATCTTCCTGTCCTGTCTGCCGTTATACTGTGCTTGTAACACATGCTCTTCAATTACACGTACAATTACACTGGCGTGCTGTATATAATTTCATATCAAAGTGCAATTATATATTCAAAATTGTGAGAAAACACGATGCATGTCAGATCCACACCACGTTTAGCAGCTCTTAAAGTGATAGCAGCCAAAAAACCTAATAACCAGCTGCTGTGATGACTGTTAATCAAACATCAAAAGAAACGGCTTTAAAGATTCATTTTTATTTAACTTAGAATTTTTTGTTTGATAACTTTTTGTAACAATTTCTGTATATTTCCGATACTTGCTGATGGGCACAGATACCTAATATGACATTTATTATAATGGGTTTATGTGAAGATTGTTATAAGTTAAATTAAATTAGAAGTTGTTATGTTTTAAAGTCTAATAAATGTTAAAATTGAAAGCTCTCAATTATACTGTGATGCTGAATGGCTAGTCAATGGTTAAATATTAGGAGGAAAATCTATTTTATAGAGACATCAGTAGTATTGGTATCAGTGATACTGGCCTTCAGTCATAAATAAGATGCCACTAAACAAATATTAACAATATACTGTTTTTATGTTGTTTCTACATTCATTTGAAGATTGAATGCAAAATTATTGCAATATAGTTAGGTGAGATTAATTTCAGAAAAAAGGTTAATTATCTTTTAATCGACTGACAGCACTAATACATATCTACTCTATCTCTCTCTCTCTCTCTCTCTCTCTCTCTCTATATATATATATATATATATATATATATCTACAAATATTAATCTCACATTTTTTCTGAAATTAATCGTGATTAATCCCACCTAACATACAGTATACATTTTTAAATATATTTTTATATTGCGATAATTTCACATTAAATCTTTAAATTAATGTACAAACAAGATAAAAACAGTATATTTTTAATATTTGTTTAGTGGCATCTTTTATTTATGACTGAAGGCCAGTATCACTGATAGCAATGCTACTGATGTCTCTATAAAACTGCCCCCCCCCTAATATTTAACCATTGACTACATTCTGATTCAACATTACAGTATAATTGAGAGCTATCAATTTTTTCATTTATTAGATGAAATGTAAATTTAAAAAAAATAACTTGTAAGTTAAGTGAACTTAAAACAATCTTCACATAAACCCATTATAATAAATGTCATATTTATCTGTGCCCTTCAGCAGAAACATAGAATACAGAAATTGAAATTGAAGTTGTCAAACACTAAAATTCTAAATTAAATATAGATGAATCCTTAAAGCTATAAAAGTTCTTTTTTCCTCTTTTTTCTTTTGTTCTTTGATGAACAGACATCCCAGCAGCTGGTTATGAGGTTATTTTGGCTGCTATTACTTTAAGAGCTGCCGCTGCTGTGGCGCGGCTGACACAGAAGAGCGTACGCAGTTTGCGTTCAGCGCATATTCTTCAAAATGGCGCTACGGTGATGCGGAGAGACACAGAGGAGGCGAATTGTTGAATAAAGTCGTTATTTTTGTTTTCTTCGCGTACAAAAAGTATTCTCGTCGCTTCATAATGTTACGGTTGAACCACTGATGGCAGATGGACTATTCTGACGATGTCTTTCATACTTTTCTGGACCTTGACAGTGTAAGTTACTTGGCAGTCAATGGGACAGGCACAAGTAGAGGTTGAGCGATGTACCGGTTTTGCCGATTAATCGGCACCGATAGGTTTTTGCTGGATCGGCAATATAGGTCGCGCTTTCTCTTTCCGTTTGCTCCATTTTTTAAACACTGAACTTCAAACTCATCTATGCTTCATTGTTCGTTCATACTTGAAGTAAACTTGTGTCTGTTTGGTGATTAATAAACTGTTTTAGACCGCTGCTCGAGTTGAACGCGACGCGTCCGGAGTGAATGGTAACACTTTAAAATAAGAATCCATTTGTAACATTAAGATTAATGAAAGCTGTGTAATGAAAGTATTGTTCCTTGTTAGAGTGTGTTAATTTCAACAGTTTTATTATTATTATTACTACTACTACTACTACTAGTAGTATGGTTCAGTATTGGTTTTGTTAATAAAGCACCATTTTAGTTTTTGTTCAGTATCCATTTTAAAAACTATCGGTTAATTAATCGGTATCGATCGGTATTGGCCAGTGTGGTCCAACCTAGTTATCGGTATCGGCAAAATCCACTATCGGTCGACCTCTAGCCTCCCGGTTTTCATCCAAAATATCTTAAATTGTGTTCCAAAGACGAACTAAGCTTTTACGGGTTTGGAACGACATGGGGGTAAGTGATTAATGACTAAATTTTCATTTTGGGGTGGAGTATCCCTTTAAATCGGGTGTGTTAGATGTGTGAGACAATGCTGGGCTGCTCCAGGACAGTTTTGAAAACCATTTCAGAGACATGTTCTTATGTGGCTCTCATAAAATATATTACATGCATGCACCGTTTTAAGGCCTCAATTCACACACACAACTCACTCAATTCACACACACAACTCACTCAATTCACACACACAACTCACTCAATTCACACACACAACTCACTCAATTCACACACACAACTCACTCAATTCACACACACAACTCACTCAATTCACACACAACTCACTCAACTCACACAACACACTCACTCACTCAACTCACACACACTCACTCACACTCACTAACTCAACTCACACTCACACACCTCACACTCACTCACTCACACACATTCACACACTCAATTCACACACACAACTCACTCAATTCACACACAACTCACTCAACTCACACAACACACTCACTCACTCAACTCACACACACACACTAACTCACACACACACAAACTCGCTCACTCACTCACACACTCACTCACACACTCTCACACACACTCTCACACACACAAGCTGAGGACCAGAGTCAACTAAAACAGGATGAAACAGCTAAATATAATGTTTTAGTTGTATTTGTGTAGCTTAAATCAGTCCAGTGAACCACTGAAAGGTTTAATTATGAATAATTCCAGCAGCTTCACAAACCGCAGAGAAACCAAAAAAAAAACTCTTGAAGATGATGAGAAGAACTGAGAATGTCCTCAGTCTGGCACATCTAAACACATTTACAAAACAAACAGTGATTTAAAATATTAAAACCTGATCCTGAGGAAAAATATCTGACATTTCAGTTTAAAATCACAATAATGAGGTTAACTGAAAATGTGAAATCAAAAGAAATAAACAATTTTAAAATAAAACTAATCAAAACAAAACACTTATTTAAAAAAATAAATCACAAAAATGCCAAATGAACTAAATTTTAAAATTTAAATAAATCAAAATAAAAACACTTACTAAACATGTATTAAATCAAAAGTCTAAAATTTAACTAAATAACTTTTTTTTATCATTTTAAAATAAAACACTTTTTCTAAAAATTAATTAAAATTTCCAAAAAGTCCAATCGAAGCAAATAAATGATTTTAAAATTAAACAATCAAAAAAACTCCTAAAACATCATTGAAATACAAAAATGTCTAATTAAAATAAACATGTTTTTAAAATAAAAACAAATACAAAACCACACTTATAAGTATCTAATTAAATAACAAAAATGTCAAATCACAATAAATAGAAACTATCAAAATAAAACAGCTTCTAAAAAAAGAGGAAGTATTTTATTTGTTATTCTGCATATCATTACAGACATCAGAGAACCGAGAACATGTGAATGTGTTGTTAAATTATTGAAATATTAACTTAAAATCTCAGAGGTCTTCAAGTAAATATTTGAGCTCAAAAGGGGTTCGGCTGAGCAAACGTTTGGGAATCTCTGCATCAGATCATCCAGCAACACCAGCGTCGAGTTCATGAGCATCTGAACCTCCTCAGATTGAGAATATGAGCCTCGAACAGACACGACATGAGATATTAGTCTTAAAAAACCAGTACCACTAACCAAACCCTCCAGAAGGTTCTTCCTCATGTGAATTCATAACTTCAGAAGTAGTTCTCCCTTTGAAGCTTTATTTACTCTCCTGCTGCACATATTGATTTCTATTACAAACACGCACAACACACAGAGCCAATGTCCACACACACACAGATCTGCCGGAGACAGAAGTGTGTGCTTAATAAGAGCAGTTCAAACGAGCAATATTCAGCAAGCACAACTGACATAGTGAGAGACACGAGAAGATATCAGACCTTCAAAAACACAAGCATGTGAAAAACCCCACTGAAATCATTTCATGTGATCATGTGAGGAGTTTTAATGTGTTACATACCTGCTGTCCTGCTGCCGTCTGTCTGATCAACGACCGTCTGTAAGCTCCGCCTCCTAACTCTAGTCTGTGAGGAGCTCAGCCCACTGAGCGCTCATCTGTGAGGAGCTCCGCCCCCCAAGTGCTTGTCTGCATGAGCTCCACCCCCCGAGTGCTCGTCTGTGAGGAGCTCCACCCCCCGAACGCTCATCTGTGAGGAGCTCCGCCCCGAACTCTCATCTGTGAGGAGCTCCGCCCACTGAGCGCTCATCTGTGAGGAGCTCCGCCCCCCAAGTGCTTGTCTGCATGAGCTCCACCCCCCGAGTGCTCGTCTGTGAGGAGCTCCACCCCCCGAGTGCTCGTCTGTGAGGAGCTCCGCCCCCGAACGCTCATCTGTGAGGAGCTCCGCCCCGAACTCTCATCTGTGAGGAGCTCCGCCCACTGAGCGCTCATCTGAGGAGCTCCGCCCACTGAGCGCTCATCTGTGAGGAGCTCCGCCCATTGAACTCTCAACTGTGAGGAGCTCCGCCCACTGAGCGCTCATCTGTGAGGAGCTCTGCCCCCTGAACTCTCATCTGTGAGGAGCTCCGCCCACTGAGCGCTCATCTGTGAGGAGCTCCGCCCACTGAGCGCTCATCTGTGAGGAGCTCCGCCCACTGAACGCTCATCTGTGAGGAGCTCCGCCCACTGAACGCTCATCTGTGAGGAGCTCCGCCCACTGAACGCTCATCTGTGAGGAGCTCCGCCCACTGAGCGCTCATCTGTGAGGAGCTCCGCCCACTGAGCACTCATCTGTGAGGAGCTCCGCCCACTGAACGCTCATCTGTGAGGAGCTCCGCCCACTGAGCGCTCATCTGTGAGGAGCTCCACCCACTGAACTCTCATCTGTGAGGAGCTCCGCCCCCCGAGTGCTCGTCTGTCTGGAGCTCCGCCCCCACACGCTTTCCTACTCTGTGATTGGTTAGTGCTGAGAGACTTCAGGCTGAACTGATATTCAAGATATTCAAATCTATACATGAAACGTAACGAATGAAACATAATTCTTTTTATTTCTGTTTCTGAACAAGAGTTTTATCTTACAATATTTACTGTGTATAACAAAATAATCATCATAAAAAAAAATATTTAAAAAATATTATTTTGTTACAATTATAATTCAGGGAACGAGTGAAAAGCTCAAGAACCGCAGCAGAACATCAAACATATGAAACACTGAGCAGCATCTGATTACGACACGTCTGCTGTTTAGTGTTTGTGTGTGTTTGTGTGTGTGTGAGTGTGTGTGTGTGTGTGTGTGTGTGTGTGTGAGAGTGTGTGAGTTTTTAGCGTGTGTGTATGTGCTGGCATTGTAACTGCAGTGCAGGTGTGAATTTGCAGATGAATTCAGTTTGTCCTCGATGAACTTTCCTCAGCTGAGATTTCCCCCTGAAACACACAAACACACACACAAACACACACACACACACACACACACACACACACACACACACACGCACACTTCATTTAGTGTTCATTTGCACGCGAGCAGCTCAGGATACAGTGTTTTTAGTATCTCAGTTGACAGCAAATGCTGCTTCACCTGAGTTTAGGCTGCTTTAATGAGCATTTGAAAATGTATTGTGCGCCATCCATCTTCACAAACTAGTAATGAGAAGCGCATATAAATATATATTATGCATATTATTGTGTATTTGGGAAAGCAACATTTGACATTTACGATTTATTTTCACATATACATCATTTCCAACATTTTTGTGCACAGATGATTACAGCAATTCACTGGATTTGTAATGAGATGTATTTGTAAACCTGTTTTCACAGAAACTGTGGTTTTCAGACAAAATTAGTTTTTTTTGCTGTAAAGTAAATAATATACTTATGAAAATTTTGTTTTCAATTATATTATGTTTACATCACATTTATTTTACAGTGCAGCTGCTGCTAATATATTACTGTCTTAGGGATAATGATGATGATAATACCAATAATATAAAAGTATTATTTATTATTATTATGATTATTAATATATTCACATTTTTAAAAACACCAGTGTAATGTGGACTGAGACACAACTAAAAAGAGGTTTGAATCCATATTTTATTATATTTAATTTGAAATGAAAAGGGGTTGAAGCAGTTAATTTGATGCATTTAAATTTACAAATGTATACAATTGCAAAGTTTTTTTAAGTTTTAAACTGAAATGCATAAATCTGGTGCATTTTGAGAGCTCAAAATTAATATCTCCGACCCCATTTAATTCAAACAGTCTCAGAAAGTCCTGTGAAATACAATGAAATGATGATTATATGCTCATTATTATTATTGCTATTATTACCTCAGAAAAACTGCAATTACATTTTTTCCCTAAATTGTGCAGCTCTACTGCAGGTGCACCTGACAAACATGAGTATGAGAGACAGTGTGTATGTGTGTGTGTGCGTGCGTGCGTCTGTGTGTGTGTGTGTCTGAGTGTGTGTGTGTGTGTGTGTGTGTGTGCGCGTGCGTGCGTGCGTCTGTGTGTGCGCGTGCGTGCGTGCGTGCCTGAGTGTGTCTGTGTGTGTGTGTGTGTGACTGTCTGTGTGTGTGTGTGTGTGCGCGCGCGTGCGTGCGTCTGTGTGTGTGTGCGCGCGTGCGTGCGTCTGTGTGTGTGTGCGCGTGCGTGCGTGCGTGTGTCTGTGTGTGTGTGTGTGCGTGTCTGAGTGTCGAGTGTGTGTGTGCGTGAGTGTGTGTGTGTGTGTGCGCGAGTGTGTGTGTGTGTGTGCGCGAGTGTGAGTGTGTGTATGTTCACCTGTTCTCTGAGCTCGCAGTCGGCAGGTGAGGTGAATCTGTCGACACACAGAGGTGCTGGAGCACACACAGCTCAGATACTGAACTAAAGCGTCGTTAGGGTCCTCGTCGCACGTCTACACACACACACACACACACACACAGTGATCACATGAACTAGAGGTCGACCGATACTAATAACTAGGTTGGACCACACTGGCCGATACCGATTAATCAACTGATAGTTTTTAAAATGCACACTGAACAAAAAACAAAATAGTGTTTAACTATTTAAAATAAAAACACTACTGAACCATACTTTGTAAATGAATAAAAATATGAATATTAATTGATATATTGATCAATAAAGCTAGTTCATAGTTTATTAACTAATGTTAACAGCAGAAACATTAGTAATAGTAAATGTTGAAATGAACACACTCTAACAAGGAACAATACTTATCCAGCTTTCATTAATCTTAATGTTATAAATGGACTCTTATTGTAAAGTTTACCATTTCATATCAACAGCGATTTGGGACAAATATCATGTAATTTAATGGAAAACTACATGGTGGGGCAGGATTTTCTGTCAGCTGCATTTAAATCCGCGTCTGAAGTTGAACCATACTTTGTAAATGAATAAAAATATGAATATTAATTGATATATTGATCAATAAAGCTAGTTCATAGTTTATTAACTAATGTTAACAGCAGAAACATTAGTAATAGTAAATGTTGAAATGAACACACTCTAACAAGGAACAATACTTATCCAGCTTTCATTAATCTTAATGTTATAAATGGACTCTTATTGTAAAGTGTTACATTTCATATCAACAGCGATTTGGGACAAATATGATGTAATTTAATGGAAAACTACGTGGCGGGACAGGAATTTCTCTGTGTAGCGCAGTGTCAAAACAAATAGCAGAGGTGTCAGTGATTCTCCTCTAGAGGCCGCTCTCGCTCTGTATACTCTTATTGTAAAGTTTACCATTTCATATCAACAGCGATTTGGGACAAATATCATGTAATTTAATGGAAAACTACATGGTGGGGCAGGATTTTCTGTCAGCTGCATTTAAATCCGCGTCTGAAGTGTCCCGCTCTTGTGTAGCACGCAGGGTCAAAACAAACAGCAGAGGTGTCAGTGATTCTCCTCTAGAGGCCGCTCTCGCTCTGTATAATAACAGCGGATCTTCTCAGCCGCTCCAGCAATAGATGCAACCCGGAAAACTATCAGCAGGGGTTTTTGCAGATAGTTTCAGCTAAAACTATTGGTCGACCTCTAACATGAGTAGGTGAGTAAAGCTGTAACGCTCACCATGTTGTGTCCGCGTGTGTACACCTTCACGTGACCTTTGACTTTGACGTGCCTCTGAAGCCCATCCCACTGACCCGCATTCAACTTCAGCAGATCGCAGACGGTGTCAGATGAGAACCAGACGTGAGCGTCAGCAGAGCCGTCCTCCAGCACTAACCTACACACAGAGACACACACACACACACACACACAGAGAGACACACACAGAGACAGACATGTGTTACAATGTGTTACAATGTGACCGTTTCATAGTCTGTGTTTTAAATCCGCATTTGAAGTGCACAGAAGCATGTGGCAAAACAAACAGCAGAGGTGTCAGTGATTCTCCTCTAGAGGCCGCTCTCGCTCTGTATAATAACAGCGGATCTTCTCAGCCGCTCCAGCAATAGATGCAACCCGGAAAACTATCAGCAGGGATTTTTGCAGATAGTTCCAGCAATTAACTATCGGTCGACCTCTAACATGAACTCATGAAAGCGCTCATGTAGGTGAGTAAAGCTGTAACACTCACCATGTTGTGCCCGCGTGTGTACACCTTCACGTGACCTTTGACCTTGACGTGCCTCTGAAGCCCATCCCACTGACCCGCATTCAACTTCAGCAGATCGCAGACGGTGTCAGACGAGAACCAGACGTGAGCGTCAGCAGAGCCGTCCTCCAGCACCAACCTTCAC